CTCATCCCCAATCCCAGGATGCTTTGCAAACTGACTTCCATGCATGTAATGTGTTTTTTTTTATTCTTTTTTTTTTTCAATGTAGACTTTATTTATAAATGTAATGTAAAATGGCATAAAACACTATTTAAAAACTAGTAAAACTACGAAAAAAAAAATCCTTTGTGCTCTCCAGCATCTACCGAAAACTGAAATAAAAGTTTTGTGTGGACTAACCCTTTAAGTGAATGTTTAGCATATAAATATTTATATATATATTTTTTTAAAGTATCTTTCTAGCAGCATGCAATGCTGGGATCAGTTTGCCTTTCTTTGGATAATTGGGAGGTACATGGATGAGCTAATAAAAGACAAGTAAAACAAGACATTCTTACCAAATCACTGAGGTACATTTTGCTTGTGATGTTCTCTTCTTATTCCATCCCATCAGTCAGTATTTACTTAAATAAATCCAGTTGTCTTATCCTCCCCTCCAGGAGTATTTGTACGTCTTTCAGTTGTCCTTGCTTTCTCTGTGGCGTCTTGAAGAATTTAGCAAAGAGTATTCTAGAAGAAAAATATCGAGTATCACGGCTATAACAAGAAAAGGAAGATCGTTTTTTTTGTGGATTTTTAACAATGGAAATAGTTCAGAGTGGGTTTATTTGGAGGTTATCCTGCTTTTAAGCCGGCTCCTTTAAAACATTTCTCTACAATAGAATTATTTTAAAACAAGGATATGCTGAAAGACCTAACTTTAGATATATTTGTTTGTGTTAAGTTCATTCAAATGAAAATGTTAAAGTGGTTGTAAACTCTTAGGCTCCATGTACACGGGACACTTCTGAACGATGGAAACTGACTGCTGGAAAACGTAGGTTAAAAAACGTCTATTTAGCCGCGTTTGCATACTGTATTTTTGAGTGTTTGCGTTTAGAAGTGTTTTTTAAAGATATCCTCAGGAGACCTTCCAAAATGCCCAGAATGCACTGAAAAACAGTAAAATTCAACTATTTCAGACATTTTGAGAAAAATAGAAAAGCAAAAGCAGAGAGAGCAGTATGTGTTGAGATTAGCTGTCTTTTTTTTTTTTTTGTGGTGTTTGGATGTGTTCCAGCTCATTTCTGCGTAGACATTATTGCAGCAGTGTCTAATATATTTTCTTTCATGCGAAACCTCAAAGTATGGTGTACCGGGTCCATTTGAGTACCGGGAAAACGCTATGCATATATTTTTCATGATGAAAAAAGGCTCTGGACAGCATCTGGAAATGGAAGAGTTAAAAAAATTCTCCAAAAGCAAATGCCTATAAACGCGGTTAGTCACGTTTACAACGTTTGAAACGCTGATAACATCTACTCCTGAACACAAGCTTGGTGCATTCAAAATAACGGCTGTAAACTCAATTGCCTGTAAAGGACGATGTGTACATGGACACAGAGGAAAACATTAGGGAGAGTTCAGGGGCTGCTGAAAAAAATGCAGAAAAGCTCCTAAATGTGAGTTTATCAGCTGCAGTGTACATGGAGCCTTACATATACCCAGTGAAGTGAGTGGTCTCAGGTGATACACAGAGATTAAACACTTCCTCCTACATAAGTTATACCTATTTATCTGCAGTCTTCTCTTCTCTACATCTGTTTAAAGTACTGAATATATAAAGCTTGTCTGAGAGTTCAGAATGAAGGGGGCGGGGAGGTGAAGTTACTCTCTGCAGAGCTCAGTGAGGAGAGCTCTGAGAGCTTATAGGAGGGAAGAGACCCCCCCTACAAAGCACACAGGAACACAGCTGAGGCTGTCAATGTGCTGGAACTCCCTCCCCTGTCACCATTTTTCTCTTGGTGTCAGGAAAACTTATCAGAAGTGACTCATGCTGACAGCAGAGGAAGGAGGCAGCAGACAAAAATGACGCTTAGTGCTCTGGATTGAGACAAGTAGACACTATAGAGGGATGTTATTTGTTCATATCTCATGTCTGAGGTTTACAACCACTTTAAGTTCACGTAATGTGTCAGTATAACCCTTCCAAGTATCTATTACCTCTCGTAGAGATCACAGTACTCTCCCCTGACAATGTCTTCAGCTGATTTTCTCTCCAGGATGGAGCCATCTTTGTTCAGGCATCATCCAAAGTCAGCACCTACTCCCTGGACTAAGATGACTGCTCAGAGATGGCACAATCATGTAAAATCCTTGACCTATACAATTCTTGACCATGTTCACAAATATCTGACAAAGATAAGCCCTGAATGATTTCAACACTTTCAGGGGTTGAGCACATTGAAGGTCTTCCCGATCATTCGTCGTCTTCCAGTGATGTTCTTCCACTCTTGAAGCGCGTGTGTCACTCAAAACAACTCGGCAGTATTGCCGTAAACTTGCCGAATCATGTCAAACGTCTCTGTGGTAGATTTGCCCAGTTTCACGCAGAATTTCACATTTGCTTTTTGTTCTAACATGCTGTCCATGATGAAATAGCACAGGTGGTAACGTACGTGGTCAGAATAGCACCAGTTGCACAGCTCCCGATGTACACAGGATGAGGTGTTTTGGCACACTGACTTATGAAGGTTGGTGCTCCCTGTGACTGTGCGTACAGCCTTGTGCTGTCATCTCTTAGCGTGTTACAAAACTAGTCTCAAAACGTTTTGACACCACCTCGTACTGATGCTTTATAAGAAGACTTGGCTTACAATCAGAGTCTCAATTCATCCCATAGGTGTTCAGTAGGGTTGAAGCTAGGAATCTGGAGAAGCCACTTAAATTCAAGATTAAAGCTGAAAATTGTATATAACCTCAGCTACCTATATTTTGACACAACCACTCTCAACCAGGGCTCAGTGGAACACTAGAGTTCCTCCAGATGTTGGTGGGGGTTTGTTGAGTTGCGGTTGATGATCTGTCAGGGTGGTATTCTGACCATAACTGGAAGACGTCTTCCTACTGACCACCAATTTAAGGGGCATTTTCCCACTGTCCTCAAATGAATACATTTTAGCAGAGGGTTCCTCAAGACCTGAAATGAATTTGCAAGGTTCATTCAGGACAGGGGTAGAGAAAAGAGGTAGAAAGGTAGGTAGGTAGATAGGTAGAAGGAAAGGGCAAGTTTACTATCCTTCACTTGCCTGCCGCCCTGTAGCAGAAATACTGCTACAGGGCGGTAGGACTGCACAAAATCATGTATATAAACGTGATTTACTTTTCCAGGGTAGGGAGCGCGCGCCACCCTACCCGCGCTGCCAATTTTGGTTAGGGATGGCAATCACTAGGTCCTGGCTGGGGATTCCCCACCGGCACCCGGAAATAGTTGGGGAAAACTGATAGGGGAGAGACCTGTGTGTGAACAACACAGGTCTCTCTCCTGCCAGCAAGGATATGCTGCTTTGTATCTCTCTGCACAGCAGTTCTCCCATGTAAAACACACACAGCACATCACGTTAAACAGCACACAGTTAACCCTTTGATCGACCCTCACATTAACCCCTTCCTGCCCAATGCCATTAGTACAGTGTTGGTGCTTTTTATTAGCACGGATCACTGTATTAGTGTCACCGGGATGTCAGTGACACCAAGTCAGTTCCCCCCAGTGTCAGAATGCCATCGCAGTCCCACCATAAGTCGCTGATCGCTACCATTACTAGTATAAAAAAAAAAAATTCCAGTATCTATACCGCCATTTGTAAACACTATACCTTTCACGTAAACCAATTAATTTACATTTATTGGGATTTTTTTTTTTTAGCAAAGACATGTTGCAGAATATATTTTGGCCTATTTATGACGAAGTTAGATTTTGTACATTTTTTTAATGGACTTGTTTAATAGCAAAAAGTCAAAAATATTGTTTTTTTTTCCAAAATTGTTTGTATTTTTTTGTTTATAGCGCAAAAAAATAAAGAACACAGAGGTGATCAAATACCACCTAAAGAAAGCTCTATTTGTGGTAAAAAATGACGTAAATTTAATTTGGGTGCAGCGTTGCATGACCACGCAATTGTCAGTTAATGTAACGCAGCGCCGTTTCACAAAAAAATGGCCTGGTCAGGAAGGTGGGTAAATCCTCTGGAGGGCAAGTGGTTAAGGAGGCCAAACTGTGGGAGTAAACAATGCCTGATCTTTGTGCCCCATCATTGGTGTCAGTGGAAGGCATAGTGCCCCAGTGTTGGTGTCAGTGGCAGGAATTATGCATTATTGTTGGTCTCAGTAGCAGAAATATTGGCAGCACAGTGGCTAAATGGTTAGCACTTCTGCATGGCAGCACTGGGGTCATTGGTTTGAATCCCAACCACAGTGCCACCTGCCTGGAGTTTACATGTTCTCCCTGTGCCTTTGTGGGTTTTCTCTGGGTCCTCCAGTTTCCTCCCACACTCCAAAGACATGCTGGTAGGTGAATTGGCTCCTGTCTAAATTGTCCCTAGTATGTGTATGTATGAATGTGAGTTAGGGACCTTAGATTGTACGCCCCTTGAGGGTTAGGGACTGATGTGAATGTACAATATATATGTAAAGCACTGCGTAAATTGACAGCAGCATAAGTAGCATAATAAATAAATAAAAGTACCTGTAATAAATAAAAAAACAATAAATAATGCCTCGCGGGCTGGATAAAGGCAAGGAAAGGTCTCTATAGAGCCATAGTTTGGAGACCACTGATCTAGGAGAAAATAGTTGAGGAAGGCTGTTTTAGGTTCTGCTGATACTTTCAGTTTGCCTTTTTTTTTTAACTGAGGATATCTCTCTGAAATGTACAAAAGTCAAAGAAAATACTACATTAGGCGTGGTTGGTACTCTTAAGCTGAGCCCTATAAAACCTCCATTCACTGTGTATCTCAGAAGGTGTTGATATCCTTTAAGTGCATTTTTGCAATAAAGTTATGATTCTCCCACATATAATAATAGGTGTGTATTTAATACTGTGGATTGTTTTTTTTTCACAAATGAAGGAGGGTTTGAAGGGCAAATGGGTAAATGGAAAAATAATGACTCTGTCAGACTTCACATTCCAGAATATAAATGGTCAGAAGCAGGGGCGGACTGACCATTTGGAAACTCGGGCACTGCCCGGGGGCCCGGGGTCAGTAGGGGGCCCCATGAGATGCCCCTGGTACCTTTTTCATAGGCTTTTTCGAGTTTGGGCAAGGGCACAGGGGCCCCATGATCCCCTATTGCCCAGGGGCCCCATGAGTTGTCAGTCCGCCCCTGGTCAGAAGTATGAGCAGTATTGTAAACAGTAGGGATGAACCAAAAGTACTTGGATTCCGTCTGCAGGAGGTGTCGCCAAACAATGCTGGGATTCTGAACATCAATCGAATTTCAATGAAGTCAATGAAAAACCAAATCTTCCAAATCAATTCTGACCATTTTCAAGGCTAATAAGCTAGGAGTTGTTTAACCTCTTGGTGCCGGCCGCACGCAAATGGGTCTGGGCCTTGACGCCGAGCGGCCGCACATTTGCGTGCAATTAAGAAAAACATATGTGCGTCCTGCGAGCTCCCAGCACACATGTCCGGTACTCACAGAAAGGTCCCAATCTCCTCTTTCGATCGGGGCCTTTCCCGATCATGTGACCGCCGTGACAGCGAATCACGGCAGTCACATGACCCTAAAACCCTGCCCCGCCGCCCGGCTTCAGAAACTCTTAAAGAACCGGGAGGCGCCAAGAGGTTAAATAAATAAAATGGGAAGCTAGGCAGTGCACTGAGGAACATGTACCGATGCAAGGAAAATGTAAAAAATAAAGTATGATGGGAGCATCAATTTTAACAGCGCTTAGGCACAATAAAAATGTCCAATTCCTTCAAACAGCATACCTGGGGGTGTCCTTAACCCGACTGCAAAGTGGCCCATCTGTTTGAAGTATACAGCCTACTACAAAAAAAACTGCCATTTAAACTGATAGCAAATTACAGCTCTGGGCTGCTTCCCTTTGTGTGAGAGAAAAGGAGTCGGATATTTCCTTCATCAATACCAGTAGTCTCCAAAATGTGGCCCGGGCGCCAGATATGGCCCTTTGCTTACCTTTATTCCTACAACTAACACCAACGACAGGGCACTATTCCTCCAACTGACACCAACAACGGGGCACTATTCTTCCAACTGACACCAACAACGGGGCACTATTCTTCCAACTGACACCAACAACGGGGAACTATTCCTCCAACTGACACCAACAACGGGGCACTATTCTTCCAACTGACACCAACAACGGGGCACTATTCCTCCAACTGACACCAACAACGGGGCACTACTCTTCCAACTGACACCAACAACGGGGCACTATTCTTCCAACTAACACCAACAATGGGGCACTATTCTTCCAACTAACACCAACAATGGGGCACTATTCCTCCAACTAACACCAACAACGGGGCACTATTCTTCCAACTAACACCAACAATGGGGCACTATTCCTCCAACTAACACCAACAATGGGGCACTATACCTCCCATTAGAACCAATGATGCAACAGTAATGTCGGGGCATTTTTTACTTCCACTGGCCACAGTCTGGCACCCTTAAAGCCTGAAGGACAGTAAGCTGACCCTTAACTTAGAAAGTTTGGAGACTCCTGATCAGGGTGGACGGACAAATCATGGGGCCCCCAAACAATAGGGGATCATGAGGCCCCTGTGTCCTCACCCACAATCAAACCACACCCAAAAAAGCCTATGAAAAGGTACCAGGGGCATCTCATGGGGCCCCCTACTGACCCAGGGCCCTCGGGCAGTGCCCGTGTTCCCAAATGGTCAGTCCGCCCCTGCTCCTGATCTATACCAAGCCCTGTATACCGGTATAGGTGTAAAGGGGGACACACAATAAAACTCTGAAAGGGTTCCCCCCCAAATCAACACTAGACTGTTTTCTGAGCATGCAGCTTGGCTAATGCATAAAGAAGGAGAGTGAGCATGTGCCCCCTTCCTAGACCATAACTGGCAAATGTCTTCTATATAAGGAGGGTACTGAGCCAGGGGGAACTCCCTTGCAAAGTATAATTTCCCTATATTGATGAAGACAAGGGCCTCTTCTCAATTACCCTGGCCTGGTGGTTGTGGGGGGTCTGCCAAGGGGGGTTCATCAGAATCTGGAAGCACCCTTTAAAATGAAGGCTGACCCCAGATACTGGCCCTCTATGTGAAGGGGGAAGGAGTATATGGTACCCCTGGTTACTCATTCACAAAAAAATTGAAAGTATATGGAAACCACACATTTGATGAATGATGATGATGATGATGAATTATATAAATTCATCATCAATCTTGACTTCCGGTAATTTAGATCCATGTCAGTCTTGATGAATGACAAATCCAAAGAGTGATGTATCTCTGGTGACGTCATAGACCAAATATCTTCCATGGCCATGCCCACCCTGCCATGAGGTCTGGATGGCTACGGGACAGATATATGCATTTATTGGCAAGTGACATCCTCTTCCCTCCCTCCTCAGTCTTGCGGTGTGTGGATGTTAGTGAGAGAACCAGAAAACAGAGGACTAAAGGGAAGTGGATCTTTCCAATCTCTCACACAGAAAGTGATACACTTTCCTTCTACAACTGCAATATGCTGAGACCCTTTGAGGTTAATGTATGGGGGAAAGGCACTCTGATTAGGAGATACATGCTGGCTCCAAATGAGGGGCTAAAAAAACTATTCAGACCAAAGACAGCCAGGGAGATAGCATTTCCAGAAGAAGGTTGACAGTAACAGTCTGTGGATTCCTCTCAGCTTTAGAGTGAATGTGTGCTCTGCAGGACAAAGAGACTGCTTCTCCAGCATTTGTCCATTCTCAGCAGCACAGACTTACTTGGAGTGGCAGTGCTGATTGGCTAAACCTTTTATTTCTTTTCTTCCTTTTCTTTTCTTTCTTTATTTCTTTCTTTCTTTCCTGACCAATCTTATTTTCCTATTTGTCTGTCTACCTATCTTTTTTTCTTTCCTTTTCTTTCTTACTTTTTCTTTCTTTCTTTCTCTATCTCCTTCTTTCCTTCTTTCTATCTATACTGACCAACCCTTTATCTGTCTATTTTCTCTTTCTTTCCTTCTTTCTTTCTTTTCTTTCTTTCTTTCTATATCTATCAAGACATCTTTCTTTCATTCTTTTATTCTTTTTTACTTGGACTTTTTAAAGTAGATTGCAAACTGTTTTCTGTCTTTCCACTTCATCTATCTCATTATTTTCTATCTATCTATCTATCTATCTATCTATCTACCTATCTATTTATCTATCTGTCCATCCATCTTAATATATATCCATCTATCTATTTCTGACATATGTTTTAAATATCAATATATGTTTATTTTGTTTCTTCTTGCATATCTATCTGTCTGTCTGTCTGTCTGATATCTATCTCTTTACTTATTATATACTGAATTATCTGTATTTCTTTTATTTCTTCTTTTATCCATCTATCTATTTATATCTGACATTTTTTATATATTAATATATGTTTCTTTTGGTTCTTCTTGCATCTATCTATCTATCTATCTATCTATCTATCTATCTTTTTTTTATTTCTTGTATGCTGAATAATCAATCTGTCTGTATTTTCTTTCTTTCATATACTGACCTATTCTTTATATATCTCTTAATTTCTTTCTTTTTGTCATCTTTTTATCTCTGACATATTCTTTATATATCTAGCAATATGTCTTTCTTTCATCGGACTTTGATAGTGGATTGCAGACTTTGGGTTCCTAGCTGCGGAGTGCCCTGCCTATGCTGTGGTCAGTGTCGTGGTCTGTACACACGATAAGAAAATCGTACAAATATTTCCGTACAAGGAACGATCAGCCGATTATCTGATCGTTACTATGATGCTTTTGACAACCGATTCTGACTTTTCAGACAAAAACCGAGGGTGCAAGCTAGAGAACATGTATTGTTTGTGAACACAATGTTTGATTTTTGTTTGATTTGTACAGTTATCATACAGAAATAACTGGTTAACCCTTTGAGGACCGTAAGGTTTTGGAACGCCAAAAGAATCAATTTTTTGTTTTTTTAAAGTTCGTACACTTCAGTTGCTGTAACTAAGCCATTTAATGAAATAATTGGCAAAAAGCTAGATCCATTTGTTGTTTGTTGATAAGAACTAATATTTTGACTCAAACCAAAAAAAAAAAGAAGAGTTTTAAGTTCTTAATCAGATGATACACGCAATTACAAACATGGGACAAATACGTCCCTTGGTCCTCAAAGGGTTAACCCCCAGGGCATGATCAGAAGCACAGAATGGCCCCCCACTTAGTATGAAGCGATGTTGGCTCAGCTCGACAGTGTCGTGGGAGAATGTTCTCTCCAGTCCATAGCACTCCGACTACACGCTGATTGGCACTTCGGTGCGACCTTCTCACGGTGGGTACCAGGCTATCCTGGAGCCATCACAGCCCATATGAATGTGATGGAGCTTCTCCAGCCATGGTTCACACAGGAGCCCAGCCCTCACCATACATGGTGCACATTCTGATGTTCTCCCACTTCATCCAGAATGGAACAAATAAAAGTTGTTGTGTCTGTGTCCAATGTAACGATCAGGTACATACAGATCGGCTGTGGGAAGTAACAATGTATCCTGTAATCCGTTACTTTGTCATGGTATGGTACAGAGTGCTGCCAGACAGAGGTAAGTGTGTGATGTGAGAAGCTGTGATGGAAGCTGTGATGGGAGGACTGGGAGGTGATGTTCCAGGAGGAGCTGTCAGATGTCAGGCTGGCTCCTCCACTCCCCCGACCAGCACAGAGCACGCTGTAGTCAGGAAAAGTCTGTCGGTGTGTGCGGTGCTTGTACAGAGCGCTCCTGTGCGATCTATGGTAGATGGACGATGCTGCCCCCTCTCCCCCTCCCCCCCCCCCCACACCCACCCTCTCCTAGGACTTAGATCGCAGCCCGGTGGGGAGAAGTAGTGGGCACAGCTGTGCCATGCCGGCCATCCCTGCCCCCCGGACCCACTCATGGGATGCGGCACCCTGAACCCCCACATCGGATCTGCCGCCCACCTGGAAGCGCTGCGGGCTCAGCCCAGAGTCTCCCTGCTGCTGACTATGATCTTCCTCTTCACCTTCTTCTTCTACTGCCTCAGCGGCTCTTCCTGCGAGACCCAGCTCGGCGCATCGGACGGACAGCGCTCTGCGGGCGAGTCGGCGCCGACCCTGCTGCCGGACTACCGGAGATCCGAGCTCAGCCCCCGCAGGATGAACGGTACGCACCCAGCGCAGCAC